TCTGAAAATGCTTATTCATTCAGTTCAGCAGTATAGTCAGTTACCAGAAACCTGAACTTGTCAGTGTATTACTTTTTTTTTTTTTGCGGTACGCGGGCCTCTCACTGTTGTGGCCTCTCCCGTTGCGGAGCACAGGCTCTGGACGCGCAGGCTCAGCGGCCATGGCTCACGGGCCCAGCCGCTCCGCGGCATGTGGGATCTTCCAGGACCGGGGCATGAACTCGTGTCCCCTGCATCGGCAGGTGGACTCTCAACCACTGCACCACCTGCGAAGCCCAGTGTATTACTTTTTAATTTAAAAAAAGAGCTAATAAAAAGGACCCTGGTTGGGTATTAGATTTGGTAGTGATTCTTTAAGATTTTCTATAGTATGCTTCATGTTTGACTTTTACATATTCTCATGGGGACTAATATTTTTTCATAGTAAATTTCTGTGTTGCTATTTGAGTTCTGATCTTATAAATTATCATATTTTTCCCTTTTGTTCATCTCAGGGAATGAGAAAATTTTGATTCAATCAATGACATGTTTGTTTTTGTAGTAGTATACATTGAATTACATATGAAATTACTGTTTTGTAGGTAAAAAAGTCCATCAATTTTACCAGTTGCATATGGTTCCACGGAATAGTTTAAATCAGGCAAAAGTGATGATGACAAATCTCCTCAAATTTGGGCAGGTCATTTCTGATGAAGATTTTTTAAAAAACTGCAAACTTTGTTTCTTCTACCATCATTTTTCTTTCCTTTTTTTCCCTTATGGAAATTTCTCTTTTGGTCTTCTAACGGCTAGACAGCACACTTCTCTGAGATGGAGGGCGAAGGAAGAAAGAAATCAGACGTATATCTGGGAATAGTAAAGAAGAAAGCATTAGGATAATGAAGAAGAAAGAAAGATCATATGTAGAACTTAAAGCTTGATTCCTAAAATAGATAATTAATAAGGACCTACTGTATAGCACAGGGAACTCTACTCAATACTATGTAATGACTTATATGGGAAAAGAATCTAAAAAAGTGGATGTATGTATAACTGGATTCACTGTGCTGTACGGCAGAAAGTAACACAACATTGTAAATCAACTATATTCCAATTAAAAAAAGAAGAAAAGAAAAAAGCTTCATTCCTTTCCATTTACTCCATATGCTGCAGACTAGCTAAAAAACAGACTGTGAGTGGCGGGGCATGACTTTACCACTAGAGGAGAGGACTAGTCATTCTGTAAAATTTATATTTCAGACTATCTTAGTGATAGCTTTTTCTTGTGTTTTACATGTTTTTTCCAATTTAAATGAAATATGTGACAATTGGAAAAGACTTAGAAAACACGAAAAAAATTAGAGAAGAGAATTAAAGTGATTTTTAATTCCATTACCCAGAATATAATCATTGTTCTTTTGGGTGTTTTCCTCTCTTAATGTTTTTAGTTTTAGCATATTTTTTTTTACATAGTTCAAGTCAAAAATATCCTTTTATATATGAAGTTAGGAAATCCTCAGTTCCTTCATTAAAATAAGGGGATATTATCTTCACAGAGTTGTTTGAAAATGAGGTGAGATAATATATATGAAGTGTTTAGCCCAAAATCTACCACATAGTAAGCACTCAATGAATAACAGTTGTCTATTTTTGTTGTTGTTATATATTTTGTCACTTAACATTATATCCAAAGAGTATTAGAATGAATCCACAGACTAATTTTGTTCTCTTTCTGAGCTGGAAATAACATGGTCTTTGCCATTGCCATTTGTTCCAAAACTTTGAAGTGTAGACACTTTGTTTCTGGTTGCTCCAGCAGTGTTTTCTCCCTCTTAAAATCAGAGGAAGGCTGGAGAATTTCCCTTAACATATACAATGAAATGTGAGCCAGAAGAGGAAAATCTCAGTTTTAAAAAAATGGTAGGGCTTCCCTGGTGGCGCAGTGGTTGAGAGTCCGCCTGCCGATGCAGGGGACACGGGTTCGTGCCCCGGTCCGGGAAGATCCCACATGCCGCGGAGCGGCTGGGCCCGTGAGCTATGGCTGCTGAGCCTGCGTGTCCGGAGCCTGTGCTCTGCAACGGGAGAGGCCACAACAGTGAGAGGCCCGCGTACCGCAAAAAAAAAAAAAAAAAAATAATAATAATAATACAGTATGAGTATAAATATAAATGAATTCATATCCTAAATTCCCCCAAACTGTTACTTTCAGTCTCATCTCTCCTAGAAGTCCTTCTGACCCCTGCCATTTTCTCTCAGGGAACATGAATGGTTTAAACAGGACCTTCCAAAATATCTCTTTCCTGAGGATCCATCATATAGTTCAACCATGATTGATGATGAAGCCTTAAAAGAAGTATGTGAAAAATTTGAATGCTCAGAAGAGGAGGTTCTCAGCTGCCTTTATAACAGAAATCACCAGGACCCTTTGGCAGTTGCCTACCACCTCATAATAGACAACAGGAGAATAATGAATGAGGCCAAAGATTTTTACTTGGCAACAAGCCCACCAGATTCTTTTCTCGATGATCACCACTTGACCCGGCCCCATCCTGAAAGAGTACCATTCTTGGTTGCTGAAACACCAAGGGCACGCCATACCCTCGATGAATTAAATCCACAGAAATCCAAACACCAAGGTGTAAGGAAAGCAAAATGGCATTTGGGAATTAGAAGTCAAAGTCGCCCAAATGATATCATGGCAGAAGTTTGTAGAGCAATTAAACAACTGGATTATGAATGGAAGGTAAGAAAGAAAGAGCATTCTGATTATTAGCACATTTGACAAACCTGTAGTCTATATAATGTTTTCTAGAAGAATTCCTTTTGACTTTGTTTTTCTCCATACCACATGCTAGGTTGTAAACCCATATTATTTGCGTGTTCGAAGGAAGAATCCTGTGACAAGTACATTCTCCAAAATGAGTCTACAGTTATACCAAGTGGACAGTAGAACATACTTATTGGATTTCCGTAGTATTGATGGTATGTACGTCACACAGAACAACATAGATGACATATTAGACCTTTTTACCTAATTTGGCATTTTAGTAAATCTTTGATTCTTTTGAAGCTTCTTGAATTGTTCCTAGTAATTCAATAGCAAAAGAACATAGAATATAAAATTTTGTGCCTTTGTTGACGTGAACATTTGTGTATCTTGTGAATAGTTTATTGTCCTTTTAAGATTATCTTCTAAAATCCTTAAAGCCTGATACAGCCTGATCCTAAAGTGATAGTTCCTTCTACATTTCTGTTTTTTGTAGTTCATTTTGGTAAGATAAAATATTTTATTTAGAATAAATGTTGACTTCTAGTAAATGGTGCAAAATCATACCATGGTTTGAAATGTACATTAATTCAGGTCTCCCAAGCATATACACTCTTTTTTTTTTTTTGCGGTACGCGGGCCTCTCACTGTTGTGGCCTCTCCCGTCGCGGAGCACACGCTCTGGACGCGCAGGCTCAGCGGCCATGGCCCATGGACCTAGCCGCTCCGTGGCATGTGGGATTTTCCCGGACAGGGGCACGAACCCGTGTCCCCTGCATCGGCAGGCGGACTCTCAACCACTTCGCCACTAGGGAAGCCCCGACTCTTAAAACTAATTTACCTTATCTACTAAAAAGCCTGATGGAACACATTTGACTCATAATTCAAATAAATATCAATAATAATTCTACCCCAGCATTATGAAAGGCTATAGCTGTGTGTGTGTGTGTGTGTATATATATATATATATATATATATATATATATATATAAATGTTCTCTCACAAACAGAACCTTTTTAAAAAAATAATTATTTTTGGCTGTGTTGGGTCTTCATTGCTGCGCGCAGGCTTTCTCTAGCTGCAGCAAGCAGGGGCTACTCTTCATTGTGGTGTGCGGGATTCTCACTGCAGTGGCTTCTCTTGTTGCGGAGCGTGGGCTCTAGGAGTGCCGGCTTCAGTAGTTGTGGCACATGGGCTCAGTAACTGTGGCTCGCGGGCTCTAGAGCACAGGCTCAGTAGTTTTGGCACACGGGCTCAGTAGTTGTGGCTCGTGGGCTCTAGACAGCAGGCTCAGTAGTTGTGGCGCACGGGCTCAGTTGCTCCGCAGCATGTGGGATCTTCCAGACTAGGGCCTGAACCTGTGTCCCCTGCATTGGCAGGTGGGTTCTCAACCACTGCGCCACCAGGAAAGCCTCCCAGAACCTTTAATTAAGTAGAAGTTTATGGCAATTCTTCATTGGCCAAATCAATTGAATTAAGATATGTTGCCACTTTTGTTCATTTAAGATTATATGGAATTATTAGATGAGATTTACCTGTGAATTTTTTGTCTTCTTTGTAAACTCAAAGATAGTACCTGCATAGTATCAGAAAGACATAGTTTTGAGCTATGATATGTTGGCTAAACCTGTTTGTCTATGTCTAGATGGTATTTTTCTTCTAACACTTACTAACACAGTCTGAGATACAGAATGGGTTTTATTTTTTTCCGTTGTATTTGGATTAAATTCATGAACCTTGGGGCTTCCCTGGTGGTGCAGCGGTTCAGAGTCCACCTGCCGATGCAGGGGACAGGGGTTCGTGCTCTGGTCCGGGAGGATCCCACATGCCGCGGAGCGGCTGGGCCGGTGAGCCATGGCCGCTGAGCCTGCGCGTCCGGAGCCTGTGCTCTGCAACGGGAGAGGCCGCAACAGTGAGAGGCCAGCGTACTGCAAAAAAAAAAAAAAAAAAATCATGAATCTTAGGTTTATTAGTACCTGGGTTTACCAATTGAACGGACATTTACTGTTTTTATATTGTGTTCCCAACTTAGGTTTTCCTTGATTTTTGTTCATTGGAATTGTTCTTTTATAAGATCTTAAATCAAATATGAAGACAAAGTGGGAGAATGAAGAGCACCAAGATGAGAGTAGGAGACTTGGGTTCTAGATTTACCTCTCTGTTCATTTGTCACTTAACTCTTAAGGGGTTTATGTTTTCTTATCAATAAAACGAGGAGTTAAATGAGATGATTTCCAGGGTTGAAATTTTAAGTGCATTTATTCTATGATTTTAATATAGAAAGATTGACTTTTATTGCTAGGGAATGATGTTTATTAAGCCTCATTATTAGTTTATTGGGCTCTCTTAATCCTGGATTGCAAGACTGATGAGTAGCCAAATATGTACCCAATCTTAATAAGTCATTAGGGGAATACATTGCTGTGTGTAAAAAAGGCAAGTGGCATAATACAGATTCATTGCTTCTATTTTAGGAGGTATTCAAAGTAAACATACTCTTGATAGCTGGTCAGTGATCTCACTAAAAGAAGCAAATTAAATACTATTAAAATTTTCGGGAGGGTGTCATGGATTATAATAAATTGAATTTTCTTTTTACCCAGATGAAATTACTGAAGCCAAATCAGGGACTGCTACTCCACAGAGATCGGGCTCAGTTAGCAACTATCGAGCTTGCCAAAGGAATGATTCAGATGCTGAGGCTCAAGGAAAATCCTCAGAAGCTTCTCTTACCTCATCTGTAACGTCACTTGACTCTTCTCCTGTTGACTTAACTCCAAGACCTGGAAGTCACACAATAGAATTTTTTGAGATGTGTGCAAATCTAATTAAAATTCTTGCACAGTAAACCTAAAACTTTGCTTATTTCTTTGACAGCAATAAGCATGCATAATAAATCATAGCCAAATGCTTCCATTTATAATCAAGTTATACATAATTATAACTGAGGGTTGGCCTTTTGGAATGCAGTTTGCACAGGGACTGGAACATGATTAATAGTTAAAAGCATAATGTGCAGAAATGAATTACGATAATTTTGTTCATTGTTCAGTAGGCATATAGAATAATATAATATACACAATGAATTATAGATCTCTCAGGCTCACTTGATTTTTGGCTATTTTATATTTAGTGTATACAGGGCTTTGTCAAATATTAATTTACCATAAAGGCCTTCATATATTAATTACGTGTTGATGTGTTATATATTTGCTTCATAAATTTATTCAATAAATATTTGCCTAGAATCCCCAGAGAACTTTACAGGTGATTTTGTTTTCTGGGCTCCTTAAATAGCAAGTATCTTCAACAGTACGGACAGCCTGGATGATTCTTCCATATCCCCTCCTTAATATTCTTCTTATTCTGTAGTATATGGTAAGTCACCTTAAAGATATTGGACACATTTAAATTTTTTTCTTTCATTTGTTAAGTCCAAAAACACACAGAACTTATATATTCAGATACTCTAGGCACTAAGTTTAATTTTACAATTTGTCCCACTATATTCTGTACATAAATTGCTCTTTTTGTCACAAGAGCTGTGTTGCATATACTGTAAATAAATCATGCTGGTTTTGCCAATATCACAAAGTCCTCTGCTCATCATGTCAGTCCGTATTAAATGTATGCAAAAATTTCTAGTCATTCAATCATGTATCTTTTAAATTGATTCAGTGCATAGAACATGTCTTGCAAACTATTTAAATGCTCAGATATGACTTTTTTTCCTAGACTTCATTATGGACATTTTTTAAAAGAAAAGTTGAAAGGCTGTAAGGTGATCACATGTGTATCTACCACTTAGATTCAACATTTGTTAACATTTTGCCATATATGCTTTATCTATATCTGTATATAGATACAGTTATATATATGTGTGTGTGTGTGTGTGTGTGTGTGTGTGCGCTTTTTTCCCCTGAACCATTTGGATTTTGCAGATATATTCATCACCCCTCAACACTTAAAGCATCTCCTAAAAAAATGATGACATTCTCCGAAAAAAACCCATAATACCATTAAAAATTAATAATTCTCCAATGCCATCTAATCATGCATATTTAGATTTCCCCTGTTGTACTACAAATTTATTTCAAACCAGCCTCCAATTAATGTTTATACATTGCATTTGGTGTCTCCTTCATCAGCTATTTCTTTATTATTGTTTTGATAAAATATGGAACAGATCAGTTAGTTCTTCTAAATAGTAACATTTGCTTTGGATTTTAATTACTTTTTAAAAAGTAACATTATGGAAACTGCCTAAAGTTGCTTAATCTTCCTAAGAACTCTGATTTATATTTTCTTTCTCTTGCTCTTAGTATAATGCATTACATAATAGGTGTAAGAAAAAAATTTAGTCACCTCAGATAAAATTCGTATCATGTGTATGGTAATAAAAAATTACTGTGTCACCCATAATTGCCTTATACTATATTTTAACTTCAAGAAGAATTTTTTGGTGTTATTTTTCCATTGCAATGGAACTATCTTTTTTTCTCTTTTAAGACTCTTTGTATTGTAGTATTGTTTTTGGCACCTCTGTAACCAGATGATAATGTACTCAAATGTCATGATAGCTTGCATAGTTACTGTAGTTGTAGATTTGGCTCCAGTACCCCTAGAAACATGCACTGAATTCAAAAGAAAAACCTTGCTTCCTTTTGTCCAGGGCTTATTCTATTCAACTTAGAATCTGAAAGCTGTATAAAATTATAGGAGTTCCATTTAAATATAAGTTCAAACTGTATTTATAACTTGTATGTGGCCCTCTGTTTTGAGGATATTGACTTCATGTAGGCTCTAAATGCAGCATTATGTTCCTAATGTTAAGAACAGAAGACTGTATTTTTAAAGCTACAGATTTGTATATAGAACTAAGACATCGTTGTAATGTCTCTATAACCTGTTGTGGGGAGCAGGGAAAAAAAGAGGAACCAATTAAATAGGACCTTCTAAAAATTGTTAATTTTGTAAACTGCTTCTTTTAAGTTATTGTGGTTCCTTTTAGTTACTGAGTTTTATTTTGAAGATATTTAAATATTGCACTTGTACAAATAGTATAATAAATGCACAGACTATTGCAGTAAATTCTTTTTTTAAGCTGGGATATTTGAAATGACAACTTTTGGTTGAGTATGTCAAGGTTGCATCAGAATTTTCAGAAATTTACTGTGGTTTGCAAATTCATACTAATTGAAGATGTAAGGGAGTCAATGCAAATGATTTTTAATCTTTTTTTATTATCTTTTCAGCAATTTATATTTTTTGTGATTTTATGCAACCATATTTTTACTTTGTCTTGACAACTGAAAGATGTATAAGGTTTTTGCCAGAAATGTACTGTATACATAGTTTTAAATATAACAGATTTTACTGATATGTAAAATTTTTGCCATTAAAATAAATGATTTCTCACTGAGAGGAACTTTTCTACCAGGTTGGGGGATATGGGAGCTTAATATATCATATCTAATTTAAAATAATTTCACTGAAATAAACTCCATTGCTTTTACTTTGATTATATTTTTTCTTTGGATGGTTCTGTAGTTTTTCAGAGTTTTAAATGATTTTGTACAAAAAGTCCTGCCCTCTCACCCTGCCCCCCCCCCTACTTTTTGACCTTGTAGTGATACCATTCACACTGAATTAATGACTGGTGGACTATGGGTGGATGTAGAACTCCATGAACCTTTGGAATGAAAGAAAAAAAATGTATTTAAATCTTTTCCCTTTAACTCCTTCCATCTCCCCCATCCACAACAGAAATCATATTTTCTTCGTGAGTTCTCTTCACTAGATGAATGAAAGTCCACATAAAACATAACTATAAATTGGTAGTATGGTAGAAATCAATCTTTGTGGTACAATATTTCTGAGACTTGTTCATGTATGTCTTGACCAGAGTATATTTAAGGATACAATTTCAAATACTTTGATTTGGAAAACGGATAATAAAGAAAAACATCATTTTTCATCAGCTTACAATGTGCTTAACTTTTTTAACTTCTGGGAAAACTACATGGAAAAAAAAAAGGCACTTGTTATGGCTGACCATCTGTGCACTTTTTAAACAATGTGCCTAAAGTATAGTGCTTGAACAGATTTCAGCACTTAAACGTGGTGATTTTTGTCTCATCTAAATTAGTGAGTTTTTGTTTCATCTAAAAATTAACCACCTGAACAAAATATTAAGTTATATACAATAAAAATCAGAGCAATTATCTTTGGCTGCTAACATTAGATTTGGTTAGAATTCCACTCCTGTTAGAATTCAATCAGTATGAAATCTTACGGCGTTGTTGGCAGGGCTTGTGTTAGATTGCTGACATTCTGAATCCTTAAAATAGCTTGATAATTTTAACAGAACACAGTACTAGACTGTTATGAACAGCACATAGATTGTTCTTTTAGGGAACTTAATTACTCTTAAGTAACCTGACTGAACAAAATTGTACAAGAAATTCTCTTGTCTGAAAAATAGTTATTGAACTGTTCTATTTATTGTAAACAAATGGGCTGTTCTATTTATTGTGGATGACAATAAACGTTAACTATGACAAATGTAGAGGATTTCTAGCAACTTGGAAGATGATCATGTTGTCTATACAGACAGCATGGGAAATTATCAAATATATAAATAGATGCATTATGATCACAGACCAAAGTAAGTAGGAAAGTGGTGGGTGAAGTGTGAAAACTTAGTGTTGGAGGTCGCCTTTACTAGGGTAGAGTGGATCAAGATTAAGTTATTTGAGAGATTTAGGAAAGACTCCTTTTAGAAAGGGGTACGGCTTCGAGCACCGTTTAATTATTTTACTCTGCAAACTATATCCCCTCATAAGGCAACTATGAACCAAGCACTATGAATGTGACCATAAGGCATAAATCCTGCTCTGAATGCCTTGTTAGGGAGATATATATTTTTTAAAGAGTTTTATAGAGGTATAACATAATACAGAAAAGTGCACAAATCATAAAATATTTGGCTTGATGTATTTTCAGTGTTTTAGGTTTGCAATGAACATGGCCATGTAAACCTCTAACCCAGATGAAGTAACATTGCCACCACCTTAGTAATGTCTTTTTTAATTAATATCAGAAGTGATATAATATCAGAAGTGGTATACTATCACTTCTGCCCTATCCTACAGGCCACACAGAACAATCCTGGTATGATGTAGGAAGGAACTACACAAGAGTATGAATGCCAGGATTAGAGATCATAGGTGGCTATCTTGGAGGTTGGCTACCATAATTGCGTATTGCTCATTTTGAAAAAACTGGTTCACTTCCACAGTTCTTACCGATGTTGAAACATTTAATCCAACAATATAAATAAAAATCGCATCTGATACCACCACTGATCTCACTGGAAAAATCTGAAAGTACTGGGAAGCTGGCAAGCTCACTGTGGCAAATACATGTTTTCCAGAATGATGATTTTTGCTTAAATTCTTGAATTTTATCATTGGTAACTGTCGATTGTTTTCCTTGATGTAACAGGCTCCCTTTGTTCATTTTCACGAAAAGGCCTGTCAGACCCAAGCCTGAAAACCAGCAGGGGTGTAAGCCCTTCTAAGTAAAAATTGTATTCCACAAAAAAAGCATCTACTTCAGTTTATAAAGCAATTTCACGAGTGCTTTTATCTTGAGACATCATACTTCAATATACAGCAAAAGTACTTTGTACCTCCCATTTTTGTCACACAATATTAAAAAAAAATGTGTGTACTCAAGGGTCATTTTAATAAAATAATTTTTACTGCTTCGTCAAGGACATTGAGGGACTGCCTCTTCTTTTTCTTACAATGAGTGTGTACAGTGGTGGAGAATACAATGACTACTAGTACAGCTTGGTAGCATTGCCCTGATTCGGGCTGAGGTGCCAGTGGTTTTAGCCACCATTGCTTTTGCACTCTAAGTGCAAATGTCAACATTGTGAAAAAGGTAAATGACGTCTTCATGTTAGTATGAAAATAGGGATAGTTTTGACTTTAAAAGGATCTTGACGACCCTCAGGTCTGAGGATCACCTTTGGAGAATCCTTGCTTCCTATCAGTGGTTCTCAATGGGGTAGGGGTGGGGTGGGGGTGGGGGTGGGGGGGGGGTGGGGTGGGGGGGGGGTCCATCTTTTCCCCAGGGACATTTTCTCATGTCTGGAGACATTTTTGCTTGTCACAGCTGGTGGGGTGGGAGTGGATGCTAATGGCATCCAGTGGGTAGAGCCCAGGGATGCCGCTAAACACTCTGCCCTGCACAGGAGAGGCCCCCTTCTCCCAACAAAGAATCATCCCGTTGGAAAAGCTACAGCCTTGAGGTTGAGAAAACTGGTCTACAAAAATGATCCACAGCGACATTAAGAAATCAAAACGATCTTAATTTTTCAATTTCCTAAACACTTCCCCGTATTACATGTCCCCACTTTTTTAAAATTTTCAAGACAGCTACTTTCGGGCCATAATTTTTTCTTCTTTAGAGAAATTGAGTCCAACTTTTTGCGGGTTTTTTTCCCCAACGGTTGAGCCACGGCCGTACCCTTTTTCAGTCGGGTTTGCCTCTGTCTTCAGCGTCTGGACGACCTCATCAACTAGGTTGTAAAGTCCTTTAGGGAGAGTCGTGAGTCAATGCTCTGGATTCCCCCCAAATCGTTTTCCCGGGCCTCTTCTCCTTTACCTGCTGACTGGATGGACCTCGTGGTACCGCCAGGGCTGTCCTCTCCGCGCGCACTCAGCCGGCGCAGCCGTAGCTTTCTGCGCTGCCGAGTTGTGGGCGCCCACGCGCCGACGCTCTCGTCTGCCGCTAGAGGCCGCTCCTTGCCCGGGCGGCCCGGACTACCAGCCTTGGAGGGTAATAATGGGGTGGGGGCGGCCGCAGTGACTTCTGGGATTTGTGGTCCCGGGGAAAGGATTTGCGGAAGAGAAAAGCGCTGAGTCGCTTCTTCCCTGCCAGCTTCTCTGGACTGTTCGCACGCCCCATATCGGGCAACCCCTTATCTTGGGACACCCTGCACCTACGGCAAGCAGGCAGGAGGTCAGGCGCGGTAATTTCCGTTTCCGGTGGGCAAAGGGCAAGCGGAATGTAAACACGGGACCCGGGGAGTGGTCATCAGGTAACAGGGGTTACGGGTCTGTGGTGGAAGCGGGAGGAAGTTGAGGAAAGCGAGGCTGGTGGGTCTTGGGGTAACGGGAGAAAGGAGCTTCAGAAGTCGGAGTTGAGGCCCACCGCGGGTGTGGCAGAGCCTGGACGCTAAGGTTGGTCACTAGGGACCAGCAAGTCTGGGGATCGGGCCCTCCCTGGCACCCGCGCCCGGGCTTCTGAGGCGGGCGGTGCGGCTTTGACCCGTCCTGAGCGGCGGGAGGAGCGGAAGCGAGCTGGCTTTGCCCCCAGCGTGGTAGGGGCCCGCGGCCGCGGGCGGGGCTGTGAACTCGCGGGTGACGTCCTGAGCAGCCTTTATGAACTTCGCTCTTCTTTACTGTTGTGCAAAATGAGGGGAAATCGCTAATGCTGTTTTCTCCTGTGCGGTAACATTTTCGGGTAAATCGGTTCTTGAATTCCTCACCTCTGACTACATCCCTATACCCGGAAGGATGCTGTTTTCATTACCTGTTTGTGTTCATCAGGTTTCTCGTCTTGGGTGCTGCATTTTACGTCTCAGTGAAGAGAAGCATTCTCTAGCTTGTGGCAGGGTATAATGTCTGTATTATTAGTTCCCACACTTCTTGGTCCCTCACATTGACAACTTGGAAACTTGAAGCCAGAAAACGTAATCATCCTCATCCTTGTCTCCTTTAGGGACAGTCATAAATACAAGACTTCTTTCTTATCTTGACTTATTTTGTTATCTCGTGAGACCTTCCTAACGATTCATTCTCATGTTGTTCTCTTTCTGGGCCTCCGGACTTGTGTTCCTTAGTAACAACACTTACATTTTCAGCCATTTCTTGGTTCTTTCCCTAAGTTACTTGCAGTCATCTTTAAACAGAGGAAACTCATTCTTCTCTATTATAATGGGTCTGGGGAGAGAGTTTGGCGTTGTCCTGATTCCCTAGTATAGCTTATAATCCATTACTCCTACAGGCTTTTCTAGAAATCTCTGCTCCTGTGGAAAGCATGTGGTTACCCGTATCAACCTGTACATTTCTTGATTGCTGTAATTTATTGACACTTTGTCATATCCATTAAGAACTTAGGTACATGACCCACAATTTTCTTACCCCTCCAAAATCTGCCATTATCTTGGGCCTTTCCACGTTAGTGACCTCATAGCCAACCTCAGTTTTTTTGTCTCCTTCATTCTAGTGGTTACTTATACTTTACTGCAGCATGTGTATCAGTGATAAAGATCTTGATATCTGCTAGAACTTACTTGCTATTTCATTTCTCTCCCTCCCTTACTCCCACAATGCCCATTCTTTGATAGTTTTATGGAGACCTCTGGTTCATTGCTTTTCCTTATCTCGATAGTTGATCAGTCAGTTGATCATAATCTTCTTGGGGTTATAGGCTCCTTTAAGAATGGAATGAAAGCTTAGAGACTCTTGTGCAGATTGCTCACAAGCATATAAAAATGTATATAGAATTCCAAGGGTTTCTCAGTATCTTTAAACCCATCCATGTAACTAGCAAGAGCTCTCGATCCCTCAGCAAATCCGTTCTCTAAATAAATATTTGTTCAATTCTTCCAGGGTTTCCTTTAACTTTGTTCCATTAGTTATGCTGTCTCGCTTAGCCCTTACATTTGTATATTATTGCAGATTTACAAAATAGTTTAACATTTCTTATCATTCTGATTAACCCTATAGTTCTGTGAATTAAGTCATTTCCTAAGTTTGAATCTTTCAGAAACTTTTTATGGAAAATTTCAAACATATATGAAAGGAGAGAGGAAAGTACAGAGAATCCTGTGTATTCACCACCTAATTTCATCGCTTATCAACTCAAAGCAATCTTTTTATCTATATCTCTCTTCTATTGCACTCCCCACTCCCACTGATTACTTTGAAGCAATTCATAGATATCGTGTAATTTCATGTAAAATATTTTAATATGTATTCCTAAAAGATAAGCACTCTTTTTGTCAACATAATCGCAATACTGTTATACCAAAAAAAAAGGAGGAACTTCTTAATATTATCAAATATGAAATCATTGTTCTGATTTCCCCTATTATGTCGTAAAGGTTTCCTCCCCATTGGCTTGTTTGAACCTGTAGCTAAGCAAGCTCCACACATTATATTTGATTTGTGTGTTTCTTAAGTCTCACTTTTCTTTTTTTCTTGAAGAAACCTGGCAGTTATTTCTTGAAGAAGCCAGTTTTTTCTTTAGTTTCTGTTTCTTGCTGTCTGCATCTCTGACATCTTATTTAGCATGCTCATCTGTATCCCATATTTCTTGTAAACTGGTAGAGGTTTGATCTGATTGAGCTTTAACTTTTGGCAGAAGTACTTCATGGTTGCTGCGTCACTTCCATCAGGAGATACAATTGTGGACTTGTCTTTATGATGTTAGCAGCCTTCAGTGATTATTGCCTAGATCCACTATTTTAATTAGGGGTCAAAAAAAGATGACAGTCTAATCCTATTATCCTTTCTTTACCTATTTGTTGGAATACTTCTATAAAAGGCCAAGTTTGAAATTTCAAGCTCTTTCCTTGTCATTTTTCCAGAATGGCTTCCTTTGGATGGAAAAGGAAGATTGGTGAGAAGGTCTCAAAGGTCACTTCCCAGCAGTTTGAAGCTGAAGCTGCTGATGAGAAGGATGCAGTTGAGAATGATGAAGGGAACTGGCTTCATGCCGTTAAACGGAGGAAAGAAATTCTCCTTCAAGGCTGTGCTGAGAAGAGTAAACAGCTGAAGGACGAAGGAGCCACTTTGGCTGAAAATAAAAGGTATGTTTTTAGCGTTTTCTTTTCGAGAACAGTTTTGGTCTTTGGTAGGACAGAATACTCCTCAGATCATCCAGAGATCTACGGTCAGGCCTTTGTGCCTTTGACTGGTGTCTCCCTTGTGGTGCTGAAGAGTTTGAGAAATTAAAAGTAGTGCTGAACAAGAAGAACTTTTTAAAAATTATTTTCTTTGTTCTTTATCTTCTTTTTTCTTTCTTTTTTTTTTCTGTTGGTAAGGATGGTTATAAGATTCCTGTTTATCATTTTTGTCATAATTGAGTCAAAGTTGAGGAACCAGCATTTTTGTTTCTAGGCATGTTATTATTTTTGATTCTGGGAGTAATCTTATTAACTCATTGTAATATAAAACATAAAATAATGCTTAAGCTATAATATATTAGCACCTCAAATTGGGAGTGAATGGTAGACAGTAAATCAAAGACAACTAACAGCTTAATGGCCTACTGTTAGATTGTGAATTCTCATTTGCAGTGTTTTAGGCAAAAATTTTTCTCTTGTAGAGCTTTGCAAGATTGGCCATTCTGTCTTAGTCAGAAGAAAACCAAGTATAAATTTTCCACGTTTATGAAATCATTTTCAGAACATCCATAAAACATCTTTAGAAATTCCTGTAAATGCCTGTTAAAAGTTCATTAACTTTGTTGTTTTTATCTTTTTCTCTAGACCACACTAGTGTGTAGAAGGGAAAAGCTATTCAGTTATTGCCATGGGATTCCCTATGAATTTCCTGTGGTAGATGAGAGATACCAACTTTGTGTATAAACAAAATAACTCATTTTTTTTTCCCTGCATGTCAAAACACTGAGTCATTTCACTGAAATCAGCTGGATTGGATGCTTTATTTTGAATGGAGAACACTGTGAGATGATTAAGTTTTTTAGCTATTTAGCACTTGTTTTGGAGTAATGTATACACAGCTTTAAAAGATAACAGAATTAAAGGAATCTGGTAGAAATGAGTCGTTCGGCTACTCTAAGCCCAAAATAAATAGAAATAATGGTTTAAAAATATCTAAGAGAATATTCAGTTGATTGAAAGTAATATAAGGAATAGGAAATAATATAAGGAAGAATAGTGAAGTTAAATTAAGAAAAATAAAACTCAGTCCCTGTCTTCCAAATCAACTTTATCTTAAACCACCATCATTTTCACTACATTTTTAGCCACATTGGTCTTCCCTGTGTTTTTGAACACAGTTCTTAATACAACTTTGTCTTATGACTCCATCTGAAAAGCTCTTATTTCCTGTGTTCTGATGTCTGTCATCTTGTCCTTCAGATCTCTGCTCACATGTCCTCTTCTCAGCAAACCTCTCCCTGACTACCCAGCAACCCCGTACTCCCTCTTCCTCCATTACATCAGCCTTTTTTATTGTTTCTTAAATATTTATTTATTTATTTGACTGCATTGGGTCTTAGTTGCGGCTCGTGGGCTTCTCTAGTTGTGTCGCATGGGCTTCTTTCTAGTTGTGGCGTGTGGGCTTAGTTGACCCGCGGCATGTGGGATCTTAGTTCCCTGACCAGAGATCGAACATGCGTCCCTTGCATTGGAAGGCCGATTCTTAACCACTGGACCACCAGGGAAGTCATGTTTTTGTTTTTGTTGTTGTTTTTTAAAGATTTTTAAACTTCTAGGACTTCCCTGGTTGTCCAATGGTTAAGCCTCTGCTCTTCCACTGCAGGGGGTACTGGTTCGATCCCTGGTCAGGGAACTAAGATAGCACATGCCGTATGGTGTGGCCAAGAAAAAAAGAAATGAAATTTGAACTTCTATTTTGTGATTAGGTGAAAGGAATACTAGTCAAATAAACCTTACAAATGACTGAAAAATAAAATTCTTTACTCATGACTTTTGTGTATGTTTCTAAATCTGTGTTTCAAAGGATATCATTAAGTTGATCTCAACTATGGTGACAGATCAGGAAGTAAATTAGTTGCTAGGGTGGCAGTTATTGGTTCAGGAACAGTATTAGACATTTATTGATGTACCAATGTGTATAAAATGAGTCAACTTTTAAGAAATGTGTAATGTCATCATTAAAATATAAC